ACGAGTAATATCCCTAATATTATCAACTCGCAGAAATTAACCCCATGATTCAATTCCCGTCATGAAATTGATCATACCCATAGTTATAGAATTGAACCCCACCCTTACCTTTGGATTGAGGGCAACTTTAAACTCCCAGTTCCGGTTTGCTCTCCGGTGACTCTTCTGCAACTACCTTGCATTCTCTCTGGTGGTTAATTCCTTTGTTCTCAATTTCCCCCAGCCACGTTCCTTTTTCCTCCACCTTTCTCCTTAATTTTGGTTCTGAGCAGTTTATCGTGTTTTTCCTCTTTTCCCCCACAACTTCTCTAATAACTCCCCTATTTCACTTATTCCATCCACTAATATTACAAATAATAATAATAATAATAATAATAATAATAATAATAATAATAATAATAATAATAATAATAATAATAATAATAATAATAATAATAATAATAATAATAATAATAATAATATTACTACTAATTATTAAATTATCATCATTATTAATTATATTGTATTATTATTAAACTCTATATTTTATTAAATGATTTCCTATACTTTAAGGACACCTACCAACGCTCTCAGACACACTCCCACATAAAGGCACACCAACAATTCATAAATAATTTAATTTGAAAATGAACGAGCGTTACAATTGTTATGTTTGCTTCCCTTTGAACCTTGATCATAATCAAGTGTTCATCTATCCTCAGTGAGGTGAACTACGATTGCTCTGATTCTATCCTAGTTAGGATACGTGGGCAGAGGATGTGATGTCTTTGCGAGCAAATTTAGAAATTATCCTTAGGTATTTACCTACAAATTTACCTTATACCCAAATCCCAAGCCATAGCAAACATTTAGCAAACTTAGCATACAAACAAACAAAAGGTTCCTGTAGAGTACTGCAGATGTTTAGGATGTGAAACACCTACCCTAAGTATAACCAACCCCTGATCCCCGAATCTTAGCGTTGTTGTTACAACGCGCAAAAGGTCTTTCTTTCTTTAACCTTTCATTTGGATAAATCAAAGTCCGGTTGTGAATTTAACGAATTAAGATTCAAGTTAATCAATAGTTTGGTATCACGAATCTCACCGCAACACCTACAACTCTATTACTTTATAATTTATTACAAACTTCAAATATCCTTTACTTTTCGACATAACGTTAAATGCAACTTGACTGCATAATTATAATGTAATTGACTGTAAATTTATTTTAAATGCAGCTTTTACTTTTTTACTAGATAACAAAACAAAATACATATAACGTAATAAATTACAATATACTTTGATTTTTGTAGCAAATTATATAAAATGGTATATTATAATGTAATTGTTTTATAAAACGGACACAACTTTACTTTTAATTCAAATATTTTTATATACGAGAGCAATTTTACTATTGATTCTTTTTTTTTTATAAATTATGTCAAAACAAATTTAATATTTATATACGGAAAAAAATACATTGTTAATTAAAATATTTTTATATAGGAGAAAAAATACTATTGTTATAAACGGGAATAACCTAACTATTGATTCAAATATTTTTATATTGTCAAAACAAAAATAATAGTTTGACTTAAATATTTTTAGAATGGAAACAACTATACTATTGAGTCAAATATTCATACAAATATTATGAAAACAAAAATAATATTTTCATTCAAATATATTTATAAATAATGTCGAAAAGAAATAATATTTATTATATGGGAAAAAATATATTGTTGAATAAAATATTTTTATATACGGAAATGAATATTGTTGTTATAAGCGGGATCAACTTTATTACTAATTTAAATATTGAATTATAGAAATTTATCGACCATTGTAATCTCTTATAACATAATTGTCTTATTTGTTAAAAAAATTTAAACGATTAATTTATCTAATGCAACTTTCAATAGTTTTTGTTAATCATATTATTATTGATATTGTTGTTTACCTTTCATCTTCTACATGTATTACCATTTCAACTTAAATTTACTATTATTCTTAAGTTTTTTTCTATTTTCAACTTTCAATTTTTATGATAGTCTGCAAATAAATGCGCGTCCAAAATCATATCTCACCCAAAAGATTGTCTATCCTTACTCATAATATATTTTTATATACGGGAACAACTTTACTATTAATTCAAATATTTTTATAAATAGTGTTAAAATAAAATTATTATTTATATACGAAAAATATATATTCTTGATTAAAATATTTTTATATAGAGGAGAAAATCTATTATTATAAACGGGAACAATTTTACTATTTATTCAAATATTTTTATAAATATTGTCAAAACAAAAATAATATTTTCATTCAAATATTATTATATACGGGAACAACTTAACTATTGATTCAAATGTTTTAATAAATAGTGTCAAAACAAATATAATATTTATATAGGGGATAAAATACATTGTTGATTAAAATATTTTTATATACGAGAAGTGTATAACATCATTTTTAACAAATAATATTTTTATCTAACACAATTAATTCTTAATTTTATTTAATTTCAATCTAACTTTAGTTTCATTTGTTTTTGGTCTACTTATTACTTAATATTTTTTGTTTAATATTTTCAATCATCATTGTATTATTTAAATTTATATTAATAATTAATTTAATTCCTTTTTTTTACAGTCCACAACAATTTTCTATATTTACCAATACAAATTTTTAATTTCAATTATATCGATTTTTATAATTTTACCATTTGTGAATTTTTTTTAGAATAACCATGTATTTCAATTAAATTACCACTTAAATGAGAGATTCAAAAAAATTTCCAAAGCAACTACATTTCAGCATGCAGTCGCCATATGATTTGGCGACACAGGCAAGTTGGAAAATGGGTTGTAGTGCAGTCGCCATATGATTTGGCGACACAGACAAATTGAAAAATTAGGCTTTAATGCAGTCGCTCATTCATTTGACGAGTTGGTCCATGCCATATTTTTTTATTTTTCTTTTAGGGTTTACGCATTAATTAATGTTTTGATAATTAATTTTAATTATATTTTTATAAAAAATATTAAAATAAATATTTGTTATAAAAAAAATGGAATAAATATTAATTTATGTTTTTTATTTTTCATAATTAATTGAATTTTAAATAATACTAAAAAATAAGAAATGGAATAAATATTAAATTATATTTTATATTTTTCATAATTAATTGAAATTTAAATAACATTAAAAAATATAGACATGTAATAAATATTAAAATATATTAAATTACAATATAATGAAAATTACAATTGAACAAAAAAATAAACTAATGGTCAGCTCTATCCAAGCGACCATCGGTGGCACATTGTGGAGGATGCGCGTTGCGACGAGGTCTACGACGAGGTTGCTGTGGCGTGTCCGGTCTTTATGTGTTGAGTTGTGGAGGATGGTTTTGTTGGGACGACCCCGTCGTATCAGATAAATTTCGAATCATTTGAACCTAATAACCGGGAGGTCCACTATCAACGGCGCTTCCGTAGTTAAGCCCAATGCCCATGTTTTCGTAGGATTGTCGGGGATGTTGGGTGGAGTATGGACGGTATGGTGTCCGAATTCGTACATCGAATTGGGTTGGAAATGGTGTGTTGGTTGTTATAGGTAAAATGCGTAAACCCTAACCTAAGTTGTGTCGCCAAATGAATGGGCGACTGCATTAAAGCTCAAATTCCAATTTGCATGTGTCGCCATCTGAACTGGCGATTGCACTACAACCCATTTTCCAACTTGCCTGTGTCGCCAAATCATATGGCGACTGCACTACAGCCCATTTTCCAACTTGCCTGTGTCACCAAATCATATGGCGACTGCACTACAGTCCATTTTCCAATTCGCCTGTGTCGCCAAATCATATGGCGACTGCACTATAGTCCATTTTCCAACTTGCCTGTGTCGCCAAATCATATGGCGACTGCATGTTGAAATGTAGTTGCTTTGGAAAAAATTTTGAATCTCTCATTTAAGTGGTAATTTAATTGAAATACATGGTTATTCTAAAAAAAATTCATCATTTGTTTTCAAATTGATTAACAACAATGTGTCCATAACATAAAACTTTCGAACCGACATGCTCGTACGAACGCATGAGTTAGTTACTAGTTTTATATAATGTTTATTGAAATGTGTTAGTGAGACTGTGGTTAATAAGGAGAGAGTGGAAAAAAGTTATATAAAATTATTAAAAAGAGATTTATAATTAAAGATAGATGGTGAAAATAATTAGAGATTTCTTTTTTATTTTAGAAACATCTATTATTAAAGAAATAGTGTAGAAAGTAGAGAAATTTTTTCATAAAACACAATAGTGAATGATGTATAGAATTTTCCTTGAATATTTTAGAGAAAGGAAGTGATGAAAAATGTATAGAATTATATAATATCAAAAAATAGGTGATGCAATCAATCGACCATGAATCTATTTAAGTTAAAGTGTAATTTTTATAAAAAAAATATATATGATATGATAAAATAATATATTTTTATTGAATAATAATATAAAAAACAATTTATAGTATAGTGCATCTCCTTTAACCTCATATAATATTTAAATATAAAATTATATAATATTACAAATTAATTGTTATATACTGTTAATATAAAAAATTATACATTATTAACTTATCACAATTATCTTTTGGTATTACTTTTTAAATAATTAAAATAAAAATCAAATATTTTACATAAATCAGCTGCTATAATTAATGACAACAAATCTTTAAATAGTATAAAAATATTTACGGTGTCTTTCCTTATCAATTAAATACATAATATTACTACTTTAAATAGATAGATATGTATTAATTAAGTGTGGAAGCGCTTGGGTCCATATTTTAGTGGCATTTAATAGATGTTCTGTCCACGATGGAAGTAGTGTATTCATTGAGGCAACCAACAACAAGCTTTCTTCTTATATACTATATGTAAAATATATTAATTGATTAACGATGCGATTGTAGTACAGATTAAGAAATAATTCTCCGAAAACGGATTTTGCTGGCAATGGATTTGTTTCAACAACTGACCTCCGTTGACTGGCAACACGAATCTTACCCCGCCTTTCCCGATTTCTTTCTTCTTCCTTTCTTCGCCATCTTCTTCCCTTCCCTTCGTTTCCTTCTCGACACCTTCATTTTCCAGGTATTTCTATTCTTCAACCTTTCTTTCTTCTATATTATTACTTCAAATTATTCTTTCAAAATTGAATGAAACACCAACCACTTTATAATACTATCACTATCCAATTTGGGGGGAATTCAACAACTTTTTTTTCTCAATGTTTTATTATAACTAAATTATCCAAATTGGTAATTTCATAGATTGTGAGTGAAAGAGAAAGATCCTGTGTAAAGAGTAATTTGGTTATAATTGAATTTTGGAACATCTTAATTGAAGAAACTAAGTCGTTACAAGTGATCTTTGTTTCGGTTCTATTTTTTTATTTTTTATTTTTGTTTATTTCAGAAGGAATTAGGAAGTTTGTGAATGTAATTGTATGGACTAGAAAGTTTTAGGTTTACAAGCCTTAAGACACCAAGTGGGTGAGTAAAAGTGCTAAAGAATTGAATTGGACAATGATGAAAAGGTAAAGTTAGAGTATGAAACAAGGTTGGTGTTGTTGTAGATAAGACTAGGAAAGAATGATTTGGTTGATGTTTGAAAGGTTGGAAGATAAGATCATTCTGTTAAAACTTGTCATTCACTTTATTCAATGTGGGGGAGTGGTGGCCCTTTCACAATTCCATTCATTATTTTAACTAGTACCTCCTAGCGATTATTGGATTATTGTACAAGATTCGTTTTGATTCTCCTTATCCCGTCCAACTTAGAACCACCTTACCTATTCAATGTTTCTCACGAAATTTGAGAAACTAATCAAGCCATCTGATCTGATAATACAAATTAGCTTTGTTTAACCCTGTGTCTAGAAAAAGTACTTGCTTTTCATCAGTTTTCCTGGCCTCGTAAGCATGTGTAGATTTACATTACATTATTATATACATGGCCATCATTGAGGGTGTGCAAGGCGGACGCTTTTTCATGATTAAGCTATGGCAAAAAGAACATCCATACACATATTTCACTATTCAACGGAAGCTAACTTCAACTTCTTACACAAGATCTCAAAAGTTTGAGACTTATGTATATAGACAATATTGAATTGTTAGCGAGGGCACTTGCTCACGTACTTACGTTGCATAGATCCGTCCTTGTTTCTAACGCTGAACTCACCCTACAAGGTACATAGGGAAAAGAGTGCACCCCCAAAAATAATATGTCCTTACAAACGGCAGAGATGAAATACTAGCCTAATCTAAACACCCAAGTAACTAAAGAAAAGTAAAGAAAACAAACAAATGATATTAGAGAAAGTGACGCTATGGGGCATTCCCGCAGGGCCTTTAGTCTTTGATCCCCTCACCAATTGGAGGGGGGCCTCCTCGCCCTTGCAAGATTCTCCTGGTGGTTTTACTCTCGAGTCTGCCTTCTTGGCGTTCGCACATATCGGACCCTTTTCAGCCTGAGGCTGATGATAAGATTTACACTAGAAAGACAGTATCGTATAGTGTTACAAGATTGACTGATATATCCTATCATGCTAGCATGACGAATAGTGGATTAAGACATGATGTCATTGCTTATAATATTCTGTCTCTTATTCTGACCATCATACAAATCATATGTGTTTGACATTATTGTTGTTTTGTTTATTCCATATCAGGAGAGGGGAAAATAATTGTTTCTTTTCATTCTCTTCCATTCTCTTGCATAATTATGCCTAAAGTAAATCTTTGATGGGTTATTGTCTGGCTATTGCATAATTTGATTTTTGTAGTCTATCTGAAGTAAATTCAATGTGTAGAAATTGGCAAGACGATTCATTTTTGGAAAGGGACATGAGGTACTTGATATTCATACCGATGATAGTCGAAAGAAGATTGGGAAATTTATGGAATCAGCGTGGAAATGCGTTTATTTTCTATCGGCAGAAATCTTTGCGCTGGCAGTAACATATAATGAGCCTTGGTTTACTGATACAAGTTATTTTTGGGTTGGGCCAGGGAATCAGAGATGGCCAGATCAAAAGATTAAGTAAGATTATTGTTTTCACGCCCAATTATGATTGATTTCGAGTTAGTATCAACTTAAGTTGGTCGATTGAGCAGTAACCATTTACCATTTTCAGATTGAAATTGAAGGGATTGTATATGTATGGTGCTGGATTTTATTCATACTCCATACTTGCTTTAATATTCTGGGAAACAAGACGCTCTGACTTTGGAATTTCCATGACACACCATGTTGCTTCTCTCAGTCTTATTGTGTTATCCTACACTTTTAGGTACGGTTTCACGAGCCTTTTATTTTCCTTTTCATCAAAGCATTTTGGTAAGTGTCATGTAGGGGATGCTGTTTTGTAATTGTTAAATATGTTTAACGTTTAAAGTGTAATTCTTTTTGAACTCCTTATCTTATCAAAGAGTGAAGTCTGTTGAAATGTTCATTGTGTGGGAGAAAGAAAGCAAGAGTTACAACTTGTGGACTTGATGCTTGCACTAATTCAATTTGGATATTTTCATATAGTAACTTTTTGCTTGTTTTTTCAATACACTCAGGTTTGTTCGGGTTGGATCAGTTGTTTTAGCCCTTCATGATGCTACTGATGTGTTTCTGGAGATTGGGAAAATGTCCAAATACAGCGGCGCTGAAACAATGGCTAGCTTTGCTTTTGTTCTTTTTGTTCTGTCTTTCACCATACTACGTGTTATTTACTTCCCATTCTGGGTTCTTCGAAGTACAAGGTTTGTGTTAAATCAGCTCCCCTTTCTGGGTTCTTCGAAGTACAAGTTCTGTTCTGTCTTTCACCATACTACCTGTCATTTACTTCCCATTCTGGGTTCTTCTTTTTTGCAGCTCTGAAATGGTTCCCACCTTGAAGTTGGGAAAGCATTGGGTGGATGGTTCAATACATTATTATGTATTCAACACTCTTCTATACTGCTTACTTATTCTTAATATTTATTGGTGGGTATTGATTCTTCGAATGCTTGTTCGTCAAATCCGAGCTAAAGGGAAAGTTAGTGAAGATATTCGATCTGGTAAGTTGAAATATTCATTACATATATGGCTATTTTTGTCGGAAAAGATACCATCTGCAATACTTGATTTCTCTGAAAATCTATATGGAATTAAACACACACACACACATGCTCGATATAGACATCTATGGAATTTTAACTGGATGTCTACATATAAACCATTGCTTGTTACATTTTCATTTATATGCAGATTCTGAAGACGAACATGAACATGAAGAATGAGCATGACAACAAGATTGGCGATTGTTCTCTATGTTGGAAATTGTACACATGTTCTTACACATATTGTCACATTTTATGCGATGACAAAGTAAAATTATATGAAAAGAACGTGGCTTATTTCATGAATGTAGATGCTTCCTTAGTTAGAGATAATGGATTTTAAAGCTTACATTACAAGAACCTTTGTAACTCTCATTCTCATTTGCTAAGTTGAATGTGTGTGCTCTAAACATGCATCAACATTCAAATGAAGTATGGTAGAGTCACATTCTCATTTCTTCAGACACACATAAGTCTGTGTAGATTTTTAATTGTTCCATATGAATTTCTTCCTCCATGACTCCGTGTAAGAATGGTTTGTAGCATCAAGTTGATCTATCTCTAAGTTTGGTATCGTAGCTTGATTAAGAAATGATCTAATGGATATCATCTTTACTACTAGTCAAAAAAATGTCTGTAATTTCAAAATAAGTCAACTTTGTACTTAGGTTATTCTCTTTGGTCTTAATCTTGAGCACCTGCGAATTCTTTTATTTTTTTCTTTCTTTCAACAGTTTCACCATGTCATATGTCCAATTCTCCTTAGGGAGCTAGATCTCATCTCGTTGCTTGCAACCATTTGCCTTTGCTTCTTAATGACTGCATCTCTCATGTTGGTCTTCTAACTTGGTATTCGTGTTTCTTTTGAACATTCTACATTACTTGCTCTTCCAATATTTGAATAAGTTGATCCATCTGAAAGGCTAGGTATTGTATGATAAGGTTCCTCAGCTTGATTATGTTCTTTGTAAGATGTTTTCCCATAAGTTATTTATCACAATTTGGATCATCAAATATTTTTGGCTTCTCTATTTTCTTTCTATATTGGATCATCTGATCTTTGAAGAGTATGGTGTATACACTTCGAACAATGTTTTTGTTTGCAGGATTCGATAATTGAAAAACAAGTTCATGTCTTAATGAACCAATGTATTATGATCTCATTTGAACTAGGATCCAACTTTGATCTTTCAAAATTTCATGTAAATAAGGGTGTTTATAAGTTGGCGGATCAATGTGCGAATCCACCGACTCAAACTAAACAGACGCATTAATTATCCAAACCCAATCATTTATGAGTATATTCGAACAAACACACAACTTAGTTTTGATTCATTTATTGAGTTTGAGTTTCTCAATTCATTGGCTCCTTTACACAACCGGTGGTTGACGTGATATTAATAATATATATTTTTTCATTATTTTTTCATTATAAACAAAAATACAAACTACTAATTTACCAACAATTTTCATTCACCACAACTTTTTCTAAACCCATACTATGCTAATGAATTTTTGTAATTTTAATTGTGTTGTTACTTGTTTGTTTTTGAATCATTTTTAACTGATGAGTTTATGTAAATGATGTGTTGTTGAATTATGCTACTAAATGTTATAGCATATGGGTGAATTTTGTTATATATTATAGGATGTGTTTCATCTAATTTAAATGTTAGAAATATATGCAATTCTATTTAATTGTGTTATAATTTTTTTATAATTAAAAAATATATATATCAAAAAGATATTTTTTTAATTTTAAACACAACGCGCGAATCCAAGGCAATTCAATCCATAAATGAATTAATTGGTTTAATAATTACGTGTTGGATGATGAACCCTACTTATTAAATATGAGAAGGCCTAACAATAATGATGTCGAATATACTTCATAAATGAGAGAGTCATGTGTCTTTCATGCTAAGTTTCATTGATTGTATACAATGGGATGGAAAAATTATCTCGTTGTATGGAAAGGACAATTTTGTCAAAGTGATCATGATAAACTCACAATTATGCTTAAAATAATGACAACAAAAGACTTGTGGATTTGATATGCATTTTTTGGTATTGCAGATCCAATGACAATAACGTGTTAAACCAATTCAATGTGTATGTTTAACAATATTTGGAAGGACATGTTTGATTGATCTAATTGAATCGAATAAACACAAATTATAACATATATTTATAATTGTGGTAGATTAAGAACGATATCTTGTAAGGTTGATGTTGGAGATAGTGAGTATGACTGGATTACCACCCTCATTGCCATTTAGAGTTTTTACTCTATGTTAATCGTCTAATAGGACAATGCTTAAATAACTAAACAATTGAGGACAAATACCTCTTATTGGGCTTAACTGAATGGTTCAATCCATCACAGTTCATTCAGGTACAAAATATAATCAAATAATTTATTAATAATTAGTGTTTAATAATAATTGACCATAATATAATTTATTAATAATTAATTATGTCAATTCATATTTAATTAATTAAATAATTAATCTAACAATCTCTCACTTGGATAACAATAATTAATTATTAAAAAATATTAATTTTAATATTAGAATATCAATTATATTCAAAACACTAACCAATCAAAAGAAAAGCAACCTTAAACATTGCAAAATATGTATCGACCGAGAAAAAAACATATATATTAAACACTCATAATTTATATAAAAATAATGAATTTAGAGTAACATATTTAAGATAAATATGTTATTAAAGAATGACTCAAACATATAAAAATATTATTGTTAAACTCCCACTAACCTAAAATATCATAAGACTTACTCATGTGTATAACAATAGGTCATAGAATATCATAAGTCTATGGTTAGTGACTATAATAATGAATTTTAAATTATAAATCATAGAATATAGAGCTGTTAAAATGGGCTAACCCTTATGGGCTGGTCGGTCCGACCTTAAAAATCATAGGGCTTGAGCCCTAAAATTAGAGTCCATATTTTTCAGGACTTATATTGTCTTACTCCAAAATAACACATTGATTTATCTCACCGCACTAAATTTTATCATTATTCTATTCAATCTTTCTCTTTTAAATCTTATACATAAATATAATCAACACTCTTTCATCGTATTCTATAAGTTTCTCGTTAAATATTCGAGTATTATTTTATATGATTTTAACATGTGTTGTATTTAAAAACACATTATTGTATTTATAAAAGATAATATAGTACTTAAAAATGTATTATGCTTAAAATAATATAATTTTTAATTTCATTTATAATAAATATTATGGGATTTTTATTTTTATTTTTTATTAAAAAAAGGTTTGTTTAGGGCCGGGTCCAGGTAGTAATTTAATTATGAGCTCATATTACACGATTTTTTTTACCAACCCTAAAAAGCCTGAGGTCCGCCAGGGTCAGCCCGTTTAAGGTCGAGTAACTCATTTTGACAGCTCTAATAGAATATCCACATAGGTCTAACAATAATAATTACATATAAGTGTATCCTATTAAGAGAGTAATTACATTTAATAATAAGTACTTTCATAAAACAATATCATACTCGATAGGAGTATTGATATTATACTTGTACTTTCGTATTTATGACCTCAAAAGTGTGTATGTTGAAGATAGAATAACACAATGTTATTGCATGCTAAAAAACTATTGTGTTTTTTCAATATTTGTCTAAACATCAAATTATGATGTTTCTTGAGATTCATTATAATAGAATAAGACTTCTTAAAATTATATATATTTTGAAGTCTTCTTAGAATATGACATATTTATAATGCGCGCAAAAATATATGAGAATAATAATCTAAATTTTTTAGATTATATGATTATGTGCGCATGCACTTCCATTGATTCAATAGAATAAAGATTTATCATAGTACATTAGTATTAAATATATTGATTATACAATGGGTTATTAATTTTATGTAATGCAAAACTATACAGAGAAATAGTTCTATAATATATCATCATTAGAGTTTTACAAACTCAATCACATATTTTAAACATAAATAGAATATGTCATTATTTAGATAATTTCATATGAAAGAGTATGATGGTCATATAAAAGGTTTACCAATAAAATATAGGATTATATAAAACATAGTAATAACTCACTCAAAACTCTACAAATATAAATACACATTTAATAAACATATTATATATATGTTGCACCCCAAAATTTGACCAACATTTATTTATCTATCAAGTGTTTGAAAGTTGATACCTTCACCAGAAAGTTCAGGAGATCCTCAGAGGAATTGGTTGAAACCAGGGTTGTGTGCTTCATAGCTTGAGAGTTGTGGGTGCTCCTCAGATGATTCTGAGACTATGAGGATGGACTTGAAGCTTTGAGAAAGTGTATGAGATGTCTTGATAGCCATCATGAAGCCCAGAGAAGTCATTGTGCAAGGATTCAGAAGATTCAACCATGAATGGTAGAATTAGGGTTTTGACTGGGTCAACCCTAGACTAACTGAAGATTTGGAGAAGGTTGAGACCTAATCCAAGGGCCATGAGATCATGGAATGATGTATGGAGATGCTATAAAGATGATTCCTAGACCAACTCATCATGATTGAGGAGTTTGAGAAGTTTTGAGTTAGGGTTTCTGAGGATTGTCAGTGAAAAAACCCTAATTTGATCCCTATCTTCCAGGAAGTTTTAGCTCTAGATGTGATTGATATCTCATCTTCCCCACAACATTAATGTTGTAGAGCTTGTTCTTATCTTTAATTTGAGTGGTGGAAGTCCTTGATAGGAGTTGCAGAGCTCAAGTTATGGTTTTGACAAATTACAGGTCAGCAGAGGTGTGTGAATCTGGGTCCTTGAAAGTCACCCAACTTGCAGACAACTTTTGCCCTAGTAGGATGATTCCTATGATTTCTTGGTCAACATGAATGTTGAAGAGCATCTTCTTAGATTTCTATTGAGTGGTAGAAGTCCTTGATAGGATTTGTAGAACTCAACTTATGGTTTGAACAAGACAGGGGTATTTTGATCATTTGGCAGTTATAGGTCATTTTAAGCAAAGGCCATATCTCCTATTTCCAAGCCTCAAATGGAAAAACTCAAAACATGAAAGTTGTTCAAAATGGCATTTTAAGCCTAGAAAGAAGGTCATGAATTGTTGGAAAAGCTCATAGCATGGAATGATAAAGTTTGGTAAATTTGAACTAA